ACCATGCACTAATTTTTCATTAGTGCACTTGATCTTATTAAGTAATTACCTGTAATTTCTGTCAATACCATATATGAGCTACCATCATCCATAGAAAACACTGCAATGTCCGTCAGAGTAGGTGTGTTTAATATCTGAAGTTCATCGTAATCTGATGTACTCTACCAAATAAACAAAACAAAAATATCTTCACTGAAAATTATTCCTGTATAAGCACTTATATCTATTTATATTCTGTGCATACTTGAGGCTTTCCATCCCAAAACGAGCAAACTGTCACTATGTAACTAGCATATTATCTTTATGATAAGAATGTGGAAGTGGAAGAATGTGGAAGTCAATTCCAGTAAAACGACCCATCACTATAAAGCTTATAACGTGGAGAACAACAAAGTTAAAAATTTTCATTTATCGGTCACTAATGCCAGTTTTTGGATGGCAAGCCTCATACATACAGTTCACTCTACAATTCGAGAGCTCTTTAATTTTGAGAACCCTTTAATTCTGAGAACCCTTTAATTCGAGACCACTTTTTAAAAGTACAAACCAACAATCTTCAAACTTTTAACAAAAAGTTAATCTTCTAATTAGCAACCTAAACCTAGTCTAGAAGTAGAGGGCAAACTGCTTGTACTAGAATATATGTGCTCTCCATTAATTTGATGCCAACAGTAGTGGACCCAGGAATTTGAAATAGAGGGGCCCCAAGGAGGGACTATCAGGGTCTAGACCACCTCAACCCTACAAATTTGGGGCTGAAGTAAGAAAATTCATGATTATGACACATTATGACATGACCTAAAGGCACTCTCAGAATTAAAGTTGAATACATTGTATGCTTACATTCTTTTCTCCATTTAAAAATAAATAATTTTGAAAAATTTAGGGGTGCCCGGGCTGACTGAGGCCACCCTGGTCTTAATCATTTTAACATAAATGCAATAATGTTATGCTATTTTAATGCATTTTCTGCTCTTTGTCTTTTATCTTCGTCCTGTGTTTTAATAATATATCTCAATACTTTTTACTGTCTTTTAATGTTTTTATAGTTTATCTTACTGTTCTAACATCACTTTATACTTATATATATTTATGTTTGATCGCTTAGCTACAAAACACATTTCTGTTTATTTATGTATAATAGACTGAATAAAATGAATTGAAATGACCCTTAAAACCGCCACTGCTTTATATACATAAAATAAATATAATAATGTATATATAAATCATGGTATAATAAAGGTTCCAAACCAGCATGCTGTAATGTTATGGTTATATAGCAGTAGGCACACACAGACACTCCCTAAATCGGGGTAACTTAACGGTTTAAATTAGTTTACAACTCACCGTATTGTGTCTGAAGACCTTTGTTACTAAGCTATTGTCATCAGTTCCAGCAACAACCAAATAAAATATACCATTTGAAGAAAACACTTTGAGATGTGTCGGATGGGTGATCCTCAAGTTATTGCTCAATCCAGTTACATTTATTAAAACTGATAAATCTGTGAGGAGAAAATAAATATGTTTGTAGCAATATCTGTATTAGAGTAATTTAATAATGATAATAATAATCATGTACAATCATAATGATCATAATCATCATCATAATAGTCATGTTCATGATAATCATTAATCATATCAGAACACGACTAAATTTTGTAGCCATATCTGTGTTAAAATTAAACAAAATATAATCGAACAAATTAAAAAAAGGAAAAATGACAACAATCATGATAATCAACCTTGTGCATAATGACATGACAACAATTTGGCCTTAGCTTTGTATATTATATCAAATATAACCCATTAGAAAAGAACAACTATGTTGTACAGTCCACAAAGTCATGAAAAGTATTTAATATCATAATCAAAAAAGAAAATTGTGCTGGTTTATGATCATGGCTATACATTAAATTTGGAGAAAACCTAAAAATACTGTTAACCATTTGTCCAGTGGAGGCCTATATATTTTTTTTTATGCCTAGGCCTAACAGCCATATCCTAGGCTAGTTTAGCCAGTTAGCCTTTCTAGTACAGTACTAGTAGTAGCAAGTAGGTAGGCCCCTCCCTAGTGAGGCCTCGCCAGGTTGGACAGACAGGCCTTGGCCTTGCTTGGCATTGTTGTTGGTAGTAGTAGGCCAGCTACTAGGCCCCTCCCAACTAGAGAGCACTATAATTGGCCTTTAAGCCATCTTAATTTTTTTTTTTCGATTTTTGGCCAAGTGACTTGGCCCAGCCCTTGCTCTTTCCTGTTTTATCAACCTTCCTACCTTGTCCAGAGCAGGCCGCGCACATTTAAATTTCCCACCACCACTCCACGTGTGGTAATCATGCTCTTTGGTGTTGGTGTTGTTATTGTTGATGTATTTATATTTATAAACTTAAGTACTCTTAAAAAGCTAACAATTTCTAGCCAAAAAACGTTAATAACTTTTAAAATTCAATTTATAATTTGGATAAATGATTATTTTATGTTATGTATTTTTGTATGTTCAATTAAATTGATTTTGAATTAACAAATATCAAATTTCTACCAGCTTAGAGGGCTTTCCGAATTTGTTTACGACGGGGACCGGTCCTACTAAAAAACGCCCGGAGCGCCCGGTGGGACGGGAACGTGTGCTTGCAGGTTAGACAGATCGATGTGGAGCCTCCTAAAAAGATGGGACATTTAACCTTTGATTTAACTATATTTTAGTTTTATATGTGCTGCTTCAATACATGATGGCACACGAAGGAATGCTCAGCCAGTTTGAGCTTCAGATCTCTGAGCTAGATATGATGAAATGCATGTACCCCAATGACGGTGAGCTGGAGATCGACGACCCAGATGTGATCGCCGATATAAAGCAGTTTTGTGCCTGCGGGGAGAGCGAGCATGTAGCAACCATGGGGCCTAGCTTCACACGCCAGTTATCGTATGCTATTAACTTCATTGTTGATGAGAAAACCAGTGTAAGTAGTAATAATACCCAAGTTGCATTTTGATAATATACGAACTACAAAATGCAAAAATATATTTAGAAATTTAATAAATATAGGCCTAGGCCATATAGAATATAATATATTAATAAATAATATTGTTCTGATGACGAATTACGCAGCAAAAGCACTTCATTCAATATTCATGCACTACATCACGTTGGGAGAATAACAGTCCTTCCTAATATAATACTAAATCATTTTTATTTCACTTCAGTGTTTAAAAAAATGAAAAAGTAAATTTATATTTTTCCCATCAGATAAAATTGATATGTGATTTGCCACATGCTTACCCATCTGAGCTTCCAGAACTGATTGTTCGATCCGATTCGTTTTCACGCGACTCCCAAAGGCAACTTAATGAAGATTTACAACGGCATATACGAGAAGCTTTACTGGGGGAGCTGTGCGTTGGGGAAGCAATAAATTGGATTCAGGACAACAGCCAGCGTTACTTAGAAATTAAAGCTGATACTGAAGGACCAGCTACAAAATCAAAACAATGTAATGAAGCTTTCTGTAGGCTGTGGATACACAGCCACCATATATACAGTAAATTCAAAAGAAGAGATATTTTAGAGTGGGCCAAAGAATTCAAAGTTACCGGTTTCTGTTTACCAGGAAAACCGGGAATAATTTGCTTAGAGGGCGATACTGAGTCGTGTGAGGAATACTGGCACAGGTTGCGGCGATTAACCTGGAAGAAAATTTCCTGCAAGCACCGGGAAGATATCCCATTAGAAGGGAGAGAAGTTGCTGATCTGAGGAAGTTCACGGGCTTTGAGGAAAAAGCGTTTAATCCGCACAGTAATGAACGAGGAGGGAGGGAGTACCACATGGATCTTGGTATGCTGTTTAAGTTTCTGGAAGAACATGATTGTGCTGATGTGTTCAAGATACTGCTTGGTGTTGACGGCAAAGCATCTAATAAATCATAAACTTACGCTAAATTTCTTGTAATGGACCGTTCCACTAAGACCTGCCCCTTGGATGTTGTGAAGTCCCACAAAAACGAGAGTGTAAAAACTTGCACAAACATGTGCGTTCATGGGACAACACGTTGTAGGACACGTGCATGTTCCTGGCGCTGTTCTGATTGTCAGCTGAGTTGTTAAGTTTGATGACACTTGGGAAAGGTCTATTGTATTTCGTATCAATGTGTCTCGATGTACGGTTCGTATGCTATCTCGGTAATGATGAGGAAGGTTTGCGTTGGCAACAGTAAGGTACACCCACCATTACCGAGATAGCATACTTTCCATATAAAGTACTGAGAAAGCCAGTGCATTTTATATCATATTATTAAAGTGAGTATATAGAAAACATGAATATTTAGTATGTTATTTGTTATTATATATTCTTTTATTTAAATTATGTTTAAAAATAGCTGTGAAAATTATCTTAATTATTATAAAAAAGTACATCAAAATTGTTATCTTGAACTTCATGATACGGAAATTTTTGATATTATAATTGTAATTATTTTATATTACAATGATTACTCTTTTAGAGAAAGAATCTATTTTATTTATTTATTTAGATTCAATTGTTAGAAAATGTACATAAAAAAGAACAGATGAAAATAAAAATTATGAAATCTCTTATAGTTTTGTTTCTAATATGAGTTATTCGTATTCTTTTAATCGGGTGGTGCGCCAGCATCCGGAATTGTGGGAGGAAACAGTAAAATTTTTTGGGGGAATGTTTTCCTATAGCAGACCTGAAATACAATTTTAATTAGTGCACACGAGCCATTGTATACACACTGGGCCTACAGTTTATAGTCCTTATCCGAGAAGACTTGTTCTACCACCAGAACCATAGGCGAGCGTGCCGTTCGAAACCAGCGCCGATATTATGGCTGTAGCTTGCGGCGCCCCTGCTAACCGCTCGGCCATTTGACTCGCCAACATTATTGGTTAACGCTTCTAATGTGCTTTTTATTTTGATTTAAATGCTCAGAAATTTATTACAAATGTAAAAAAGTTGTTAAATGCATTGTTTTTGAGTGGCCAGGCCTTGAAATGCCAGACAGACCAATCGAAGCAATATTGGCCAATCTTACAATTTTCATTTTTCCGGGAAAAAATGGGGGAGGGAATTTTAAAAAAAATTACCAACCCCCCCCCCCACCACTGCTTTTAATTAGCATTTCATTGAAAAAAGAACAGTAAAACTTACCTTCTGAGATGGTTGTTAGTGTCTCTGGTAATTCCCTCTTAGCTCGGTGTTTCTGGTTTGGCTGCAGTCCAAATGCTTCCAGATGTTTTCTTGATAAGTCTTCTGCTTGTCTTTCATATTTTTTTAATAGTTTTGACAAATCCTCATCTATTTTATATAACAATGATTCACAGAACTAAAACAGAACTCTTTGTAAAAGTGTATAGTATTGTCCCCTGATCATGACTAAAAATCATAAAAAAATTATTTTAAAATAAACTTGGTCATTTTGCAGTAACATAAAAATTGTCAACTTGAGTATAGAAATTATTGACATTAAAAAAATGTACCCTGACTGGAAGTGTTTCTATCAATTTTTTGCTGTAAAATTATGAGTAAACATTTTTTAAATAAACTAATTTCTATGTTCAATTTGATAATTTTTATGTTACTTCAAAACGAACATGTTTATGTAAAAAATGATTTTTGAAATTTCTTGGTATATCATGGAACAATACATCTTTAAATTACAAAGCCCTTTACACTACTATTAGGATAATATAAAGTTTGAGATTCTTGAAAGATAACAGCAGAGTGTTTTATAGAAGTTGCCTAAATTCCATTTTAGTTTGTAATATGATGTTCATTTTATAGTAAGCAGTGGTAAAATTTATTAATTTTTTTAGTTTGCTAGTATAAAATTGCAAACAAATTCGTGTTGCTAAAATAATTCCACAATATTGTACAAAGATGAAGTGCGCCCTCACGCATCACAATCCATTAATGATACGTTGCTTACCTTGTGAAACTACACAGCCAATGAACAACAGGATAAATACGACCAATGGGCGGCCACATCTTTGGTTAAATATCATGTTCTGTTGTTGAGAAGGAAAAATATCAATACACTCAATTATCAATTCATATAAAATATATTTCGTGATTTGTTTTATGTTATTTACCAAGTTTCTACCATGGTTTTATTTTGCTTTTATAATTAACTATAAAACAGGATTATTGATAATGTAATATTTACTATTACAGTTCCATAATTTGAGATCTAATTATGTGAAATCGAACATCAGATTTGATTCTCATCCGAATTATTAGCAATTCGACGAAAATTACTCTTATTTTCACTAATAAAAATGATTTTGCTTTTATACTCCCATTACTAGGGCCTACATTGGCTATGGCAATAAAGAAAATATAGTATATGTCGGGTTTCAAACTAAAGTATTTGCCAAGGTTACGTTAGAAGCAGTCTATATATTCAGCGAAATTCATCAAAAGCAATTATATGCACGTTTTAAAGTAAGGTAAGCCTATTTCACATGATACACTGACGTATCTTCAAAACTTTATCAAAATCGAAACACTTTGTTGAAAATAATCGTCTAAGAGTCAATTTTATATAGGCCTACTATTGTCAAGGAGACGTTAATAGCAACATATAAACATACATAACAAATTTCAAGATATCGTTGTGCCAATTACCGTGCCTTAAATTTAGGACGCCTACCTTCAGTTGTAAACCTTCACTGCCGACCCTAACTCTTGACCACCGGCAGACCTATAGTTTGGACTGGAAGAAACGCCCCTTGGACAATCTCAAGTAAAATTTTTTTCCAGGTGTCAAGCAGAATGTAAAATTTGCATATGCTATGGAGCGCCGTTTAGGACATTGCTATATGTTTTTTTAAAAAGGCACTCTGTTGGTGCCGAAATAATTTTGTGCCACATAATTATATACCGGTAACTAATCTGTATACAAAATTAAATCTGCGTTTTTTGTAAACAATCGACCAAAGATTTTTTTTCTCTAAAACCAGCTGTGAATTTCAGCGATTGGTTTCGTCCGTAGCGTGTTAAAAATGTTTTGGTTCCATACACGTAGCCGAAAAAAATCATCGTGTCTTCCATGACAACCCTTCTAATTTTCTGCCTTTACTAATGTTCTTACAGTTTATGTAATGTACCAAGGGCTAAGTTTTGACTTGAACGTAATATTATATTACTCTCCTACACCATGCACCTATTACTCAAGAAATACACAACCGAGTCAACGTACTCGTGTCAATATACGAACCTTACCCAGATAGATAGAGCTAAGTTTAATCACCTAGAACGTGTGCAATTTTGACCCAACTGCTTAATAAATGTATCTACGAATACTTATATATTTTTAGTCAAGAATATTAAATATTTTAGGAATGTGTTAGATGAAGCCGTGAATTTCTGCGTGGTTGGTGTAGCATGTTGAAAAAAATTGGTTCCATACAAATTAGCGGAAAATGTAACGTGTTTTCCGTAACGACCCCGGTCATTTTCTGCTTTAAAGTAATGTTCTTTGTATCAGATCAGCCTTGAATTTCTGCGATTGGTTTTGTAGCGTGTTTCCGTTAGGAACCCTGTAATTTTCTGTTTTTGTACCAGGGCCGTCGAACCGCAAATTCTTTGGCCTGGACCACTTTTTCTCAATTCTGCTACTTTTAAAATAAATATAGTTATACCTATAAATTATATGAATGTATTATTAATGTTGGCATCACATTGTTGCTTTTTTTTTTATTGTACTTTCCATATATTTTGAAAATCCTTAAATTTTAAGTTCGCACCTTTCGCCATGGCGAGGGTAAAAAAGCAAGAAATATATAAATATATTTTTTAATACACAAAGAACCGTCAAAAACAAATTAGAATTGGTTGTTGTCTAGACAAATATATCAGATACCGTATATTATATAGTTTAAACTTGCATGCATAAAACGATAATTTTAATAATAATCTTAATTGGATATATATGAGATTGATAATAAATCATTCGCTGTACTATTTAAATGAGTGGACATCCTTGTGATTTAAGGAAATATAAATGGGTCTGTAGCTAAGTGTCAAAATGTGCGGGTGAGAATTTAAAGTATTAGGCCTAAAATAATAAAAATATGTCGGTCTTAAGCATAAAGCCTCTAAGCCCGGTCATTGGATCAAAAACATACTCAGCTTCCAGGAAGAATTCCATAATATTGCAGCTAGTAAATCAGCGCAGTTGTGTTCGAAACTACCAGGTACATTGTACTACTGGGTGGAGAGAGGCAGCCGTAGATAAAGTGCCTTGCCAAATGACACAAGCGATTTGCCCAGCGAGAGCCTTTGAACCCCCGACCTCGAGGTTGGGAGGCCAAGCCACAACCGATGCGCCAACCGCTTCTACTAAGGAGCGAACTTCCTTATGTTGTGGTCATATTCGACTATAGTTAACCCAGACCATTCAGTAAACAACATAGACCTAAATCATATACATAGGGCCCAACTTTCCACTTCGGTGCATGCATAAAACGTAATTTATTGGAATTTGGATATGAGATTCATAATCAATCAAAATTATTTGTACTCTATGCTAAACATTTAACGCCGTACCTCCTTGTGATATAAATAAATTTCGGTCAGAAGTTACGTGTAAGTCTTTTCTGCTTATGTTTAGATGTTTGGTATTTAATTTTTTTTTCATCCGTTTAAATAAATTGGGCAATTATGGCATTTTATAAAATCACTAAACAATAACTTTCTAGCCTGTCAGTGGCGGCGCTACGGGGGTTGGGGAGGCAAGAAAATCTTCTCCCTCAACACCCACACCCCCCCCCCCCCAAAGGAAGGAAAAAAACATCGGGGAGAAAAAATGCTACCGTATGTATTTTCTACATACTTTGTAAACTATCTACATTATAAAATCAATTAAATAAGCCTCTGAACCCCTAAATTGTCATAATTTTCGGGGACCACTTTCGGGACATTTTGAACGACGCTGGACCACGCCCACTTCTGGCCATCCACCTCCCCCCCCCCCCA